TAAGATCAAGAGGTTATTGAGTGTGAGAGAATCTGAGAAAAACTATTAAGGAGAGAGAACAATAACAACAGGAATTATGAAGACAGAAGATAATGATTGGCATTGCATTTAAATTTTTGAAGGTCAAAGTTGTCTGGGAAGCAATAAGCCAACAACAGTTATTCAATATATATATATATATATATATATATATATATATATATATATATATATATATATATATAGAGAGAGAGAGAGAGAGAGAGAGAGAGATTTGTTAATTTCTGTTACAACCGTTTTATTAACGAGATTACCGTTTTTATTCATGAACGAGATCACTGTTTTTATTCATTAACGAGATTACCGTTTTTATTCATGAACGAGATCACTGTTTTTATTCATTAACGAGATTACCGTTTTTATTCATTAACGAACGAGGTTACCGTTTTTATTCATGAACGAGATCACCGTTTTTATTCATTAACGAGATTACCGTTTTTATTCTGTGCTTCTGCTATTTTCCTCCAAACTTTTGTGTCAATAATTATAAAATGTTTTTCTTTTTTTTCTTTTAGGTAAGTAACAACGTTCACAGCTAAAGAGGTTTTTGTTAAATATAATTATTTCATACCAAAAAGGTAAGTTTATAAATATATGTTTGAGAGAATAAGAGAGAGAGAGAGACAGACAGACAGACAGACAGACAGACAGACAGACAGACAGATACAGAGGGGTGGGGAAATTAGTCATTTATAAAAAGAAGTAAACATGAAACTCCGAGTAGCTGAATTTAATAACTATTTTGATATTATTGTATTAATAATATTATAATATATTATATATACAGATTCCACCAAAAAGTGTGTATAGTCACTTCAAGAAAGGAATATATATATATATATATATATATATATATAAGAATAAAATAAAAAATATATATATATATATATATATATATATATATATAAAGAAAATGCATGAATAAATATATATATATAAAACAGATGTGCGTAAATATATATATATATATATATATATATATATATATATATATATATATTGTACGTATTCGCTCTCTGCTATATGTAGTGCGAAAAATTAATTCTCGTGATGACCATAACGTGGCAATGAGTCAGGCAAATATTTGCACTCGAGCAAACCAGAATAGTCACTCTTTGCCGAACAGTAGAGGAAGATTTATGTGTTCATATTATGCTGTTATGATGGAAATGAATCTGGCTCAGCAAATTAACATTAAGTTTTATGAAAAGATTGATAAAAGTGTGAGTGAAGCAATAGAAGAAGTGTCTCCTGGTGAACATGCTATGAAAAAAAAACCTTGCTTCTCCTTTTCTTCGAGTCCTCTGTCTCTTTCTCTCTTTTATTCTCCTATCTTCGCTCTCTTGTCTATGACCATAATGAAATGAGTGATTTAAACCCCTTCACAGCCATCTTTTTTTATCACTCTTTATTATCTAATGTTAAAACAGTGTCACAAGATAACACGAGGCACCTAAATGTCAATATATTTATTGAATAATCAGTTCGGCTCGTTGTGTTTTAACAAATTTGCGTATACAGGAAATCTGACTTCTAAGATTTAAGCCCTCAGAAAACCTAAGTGGCTGTACTTTGAGACAATATAGTTTTCTCAATTTTATAATAATAATAATTGAAGCTGAAGCTGCAAAATACTTAAAAAAGAAAGCAAAGAAAAATGCAACCTACCAGTTACAGAAGCGATGGCAATATAAACCGCTTCATGGGCAATACTCTGCCCGTACCAAACAAGCTGATGTAGACAAAACCCGTACCCATCAGTGGCTACATAATGCAGGGTTGAAAGCTGAAACTGAACATTTTATCCTTGCTGCACAGGACCAATGCTTGTTAACTAGGAATTATCAAACCCATATACTAAAATATTGTGTTAGCCCAAAATGCAGATTCTGTGATAAATATCCAGAAACAATTGATCATGTTGTATCAGGTTGCACGATATTGGCACCCACTGAATATAAAACCCGGCATGACAGAGTGGGCCAATATCTGCTTTGGAAAATCTGCAACTTCTACAGGAAGGAAACTGAAAGAAACTGGTATGAACACCACCCAGACCCGGTTACGGAGATAGGACCTGTTACAATTCTATGGGACTACACAATACACACTGATAGAACAATCAAAGCCAACCGCCCAGACATTGTTATTAGAGACCGCAAAAAAAAAAAAATGCCTTCCTATTGATATGGCATTCCCTGCAGACTCCTATGTATCTTTAAAGAGCCGTCAAAATACAATGACCTTGAATCGAAATCTCAAAAATATGGCTCATGGGAACATCAACAATCCCCGTTGTAGTTGGAGCCCTCGGATTGATTAGAAATTATTCCAATAGACGTATTGAAAGATTCCTTGATAGCCCATGCCTTAAAGAAATACAAAAAATTGTTCTCACAAGTACAGGTCAGAACCTTACGAAGGCTTTTATCTATGTAAAATATGTGTTTTTATTTTATTTTTTTTTTTATTTGCGCAGTGGAAAATGTCGTGATGACATTTCTAACCTTGGGTCTCTAGACGGGATCCGGATAATAATAATGATAATAATAATAATAATAATACAGTGTAACCCGGATATAAGAGACCCGGATATAAGAGAAACCCGGATATAAGAGAGATTTTCTCTGGTCCCAAATTAGAGCCTGTGTTAATGTATATATAATTGTTGTGGTAGGATCCACCTAATTTGCATTGTGGAGTACCGGCCATATAAATATGGTTTGTATCGGGAAGAGAGGGAGGAATCAAGAGATTCAGCCAGAGACTCTGCCCGACTGCGACTCAGTCAACACATTCTCCAGGAACGGTTTTACCAGGAATATACAAAAGACTATATGTAAATATTGTGTACACTTTCTTGTTTCAATACATTTTGTTCTAAGTACCTTTTGTGTTGCATTATTATTTCATGCATTAGTCAAGTTTCAACAATAATATACCAAACCCGGATATAAGAGAAACCCGGATATTAGAGACTTCTTCTCCGGTCTCGACAACTCTCTTACATCCGGGTTACACTGTAATTTATGATGCTGCACCAGCCATGGCTTTCATTACATCTGATCTTAACTGGAGGGGCTAACGCGTACATGTTTTTGTCTTGGCGAATTAAGAGGGACTAAAATAATGATCATGTTCAGTATCACAGATTTGTTTCTCAGTTGTCTGATCATAACCAGTTGGGCATCTTCCCTCGGGACTGACGCACTGTGCATATCTGTTCATGAGCAGGAGAAGCGAGTGTTGGGCACTATGCCCGGATGTTGAGAGATTGCTCTTGTTTTCAAGTTTGAGTGATTAACTGACTTGTTAGTCACATCTAAATACTGGGGAACCCTTCAATCGAAGTGGGTATTTCTAACTTGGCCCTACCCGCAAGGTTATGTGCTGCTTTTATCAAAACCACTCACCATCTTGCACACGTGTCTCTGTGATGAATGTGCCTGGTATACCCTTATCAAACTAGATGATCTGGCGAGTATTGGGGGTTTCGTATATTTGTACACCAGTGTCACTTTATGTTATCCAGCATGAATATTTTCATTGTAATTGAGCTTTCCTCTTCGGCACCTTGTTTTTGCAAATTAAATGCAGCACTAGATTGGCAGTTAGGTCTCATCATTTTACAGTGGAAATTGCCACATGTAACCATAGCTTCTGACAGTTTCTCATCTCATACTTCTCACTTGTGGAACTCTTTTCTTGATTCTTACTTTTCGTGAACTTTGATCTTTAAATATTTAAATGCAATGTCAATCATCATCCGTTTCATTAATTCTTGTTTTTTTTTTTGTTTATTGGCCTCTCTCAATGTTTTATTCTCGGCTTTTTTCACACTCAGTAACCCCTTGCATTTAGTGGCGCTACTGACTTGCTGTTGGGGGGGGGTGAAACGATTAAAAAAATCTTCCTTCCGTTAATTATTTCTCCCTTAATATATTTTCTTTGTTAGCGCTTTGGGTTGACTCGTTTATTTCAATCTTTTTGCTTAATTGCTTTTTGTATTTATTTCTGTCTTCTTTTCTTTTAACCCCATTTTTTGCAATGTTTTGTTTCTCGCACATTCTTTGTTTTGTTTTTTTTTCTCATTTTTAGTCTTTCTTGTCTTTGTTTTTGGAATTTTTACTATTATCAACGATGTCTTTAAAATTATTTTTATTTTAGTAATTTTTTTTTCTTTCGTTTGAATACATCCTTCGTTCCTTCTCCATTTTTTTGGAATCACTTCTTTTCATCGTTTGCTTCGTTCAGTTCTTTCTTTCTTTCTTTCTTTCTTTCTTTCAAATGCCCGTATGTCATTTTTCATTATCTTTTTTGTTTGTATGTTTGTTGGTTTCTTTCTTTCTTTCTTTCTTTCTTTCTTTCTTTCTTTCTTTCTTTCTTTCTTTCTTTCCAATGCCCGTATGTCATTTTTCATTATCTTTTTTGTTTGTATGCTTGATGGTTTCTTTCTTTCTTTCTTTCTTTCTTTCTTTTTTCTTTCTTTCCAATGTCCTTACGTCAGTTTTCATTATCTTTTTTGGTTCTTTGCTTGCTGGCTTCTTTCTTTCTTTCTTTCTTTCTTGCTTGCTTGCTTGCCTTCTTTCTTTCTTTCTTTCTTTCTTGCTTGTTTGCTTGCCTTCTTTCTTTCTTTCTTTCTTTCTTTCTTTCTTTCTTTCTTTCCAATGCCCGTATGTCATTTTTCATTATCTTTTTTGTTTGTATGCTTGTTGATTTCTTTCTTTTTTTTTCTTTCTTTTTGTCATTGCTTCCACACATTCTTTCTTTTTTCTTTCTTTCCAATGTCCTTACGTCAGTTTTCATTATCTTTTTTGGTTGTTTGCTTGCTGGCTTCTTTCTTTCTTTCTTTCTTTCTTTCTTTCTTTCTTTCTTTCTTTCTTTCTTTCTTTCTTTCTTTCTGTCACTTTTATTATGTTTTTTTTCGTTTCGATCCTTCTTTCTTTTTATTTCTGGCTTGATCACTTTCTTTCATCGTTTACTTCGTTTGAATTCTTTCTTTTCATTTTTTCTTTCATTCTTTGTAGTTCCACCGCTTCATTTCTTATATATCTGTTGTAACCTAGAAATCGTTATTGAATGAGAAATAATCAAAACGGTGGTTGGAAATGAAATGGTAATATTTATAAAATCAACAAAGCACAATACTCGCCAGCGACATGAAGTAGGTAAACCACTGCTAGTGATGAGCTACTACGACACCATATTATCCTTACTTACAATAGTGACCAACATATTTATGAAAACTGGGAGAAACCTATTAGTGTTTATAGGTACGGTATATAACAAAAAGAAAGGGAAAAATAAAGAAAAGGAAGATAAAAATTGTTGTAACCGAGAAAGGTTTACAGAATGAGGAATAACCAAATCGGAGGTTGTAAATTAAATGGTAATTTTTATAATATCAACAAAATACAATACTCGCCAGCGGCCTGAAGTAGGTAAACTGCTGCTAATGGTGGACTACTTAGATAACATATTACCCCTACTTACAATAGTGTCCAAAGTATTTATGAGGATTGGGACATAGCCGTTAGTGTTCATAGCTACGGTATATAACAATATCATTCTCTTTTTTCTTATCTTTTTAATTGCCTCTTTTGCTCTTATTTCTTTATCTTTTTCTTTCTATTGTTCGACTTCCATATTTATTCCCCTTTTTCTTCCCTTTTTTCACTTTTGATCTTCGTCTTTCTTCTTTTCCCCGACCTTTTCTTTCATTATTGTTTCTTTCATTGTTTCTTTCTGATACCCACAGTTTAGTTGGATTAAAAATATATATATTACTTTAGGATGTACTTTTTAAAGTAACTTTACCAATTACTGGCTTCTAACTTGATTTAAACGCTGACCTCTGTGACACCGATTGGAACTCCGTAACTTATTCAACCACGAGGCAGGCTGTTTATTATCTTCCTAGTTTTGATTCTAACCCTAAACCTAAATCTGCCTCAAAGTCAAACACTTACTTTCATGCTGCTTAACCAGATTAAACCATATTATCTACAACAAATGAATTTCGTTTTTCAAACCTACTTATAGCTTTTTTCCCACCATCGGAGAAAAAATCATCGCAAAAGGCGTGACATTTATCATTCCTAACTACCATAACAAAAAAAAAAAAAAGGATAAAATTCCACTCAGAAAAATAAATGAGTTTTCGTTGTATTTGGAAATTTAAAACGTTATTTATTTTAAGGTACAAAAGACATTTCGTTATTGGTATTAATACTAGTCGTGAGACATTTGTCACGAACGATTGAAAGACTTGATATGACTCTTGTTGTATGGGTAACTCTGTAATATAAGAAGAAATGTCATTTTAGATAAATTTAAGTATATCTTGGTAATAATAATAATAATAATAATAATAATTATCATCAATGGTTGTCTCTAGTTTAGCAATAGTCTCGCTTACACTTGAGTCTATAGTAAAATACTGTTCGGCTATATATTTGAGTTAACAGCCATGCATATTTATCGTATATATATTTCAGTGTACAGTGAGCCCCCGCCTATTCGCGCTTCAGCATTCGCGGTTTCATACATTCGCGGTTTCACACATTCGCGGATTTATCTTTAGAACCTATGTACTTGTTATTCGCGGAAACCCCGAATATTCGCGTGTTTTTCTGAAGAACATATCTACAAATTATTCGCTGAGAACTCCCTCGATTGGCGTATTTTTTCGATAGAACATATTTTAAATATTCTTGCATTATTTTCCTGCTATTTAAATGACTTAAAACATATAACAGTCCATTTTTATGGTAAAAATTGGCAGAATTGTACATCTTCATTGTAAAAAACAAACGCAAAAACATGCGTAGTGCTTGGCCTTTGTTCTTTGTTAGGGGCCACGGCTGGGGTCTTAAAAGTGGCTTAGGCTAAGTCTGGGGGGGTCATCATCACAGTTCTATTTTTAGAAAATGTTTTAAACTTTATATTTTATGTCTTGTGACACATATTTTATACAGTATTTTCAATGGTTGCATCGATCTAAGTGTAATTAAAAACGGTTATTGTACGTAAGAAAATTTACGCTAAGTGTATGGTCACCAATAGTATTTCTCAGAAATGTTTTATAAAGGGTCTGAAACGTTTGTAAATTGTTTAGGATGAAAGTTTAAGGAATATGGGGTTTTAACAATCAAAATAGGTACTTATAAGCACTTTTGGGTGGGGTACAAATATTCGAGGATTCTAACTATTCGTGGATTCTAACTATTCGTGGCCGGTTCTGGTCCCTAAACCCCGCTAATACGGGGGACTTACTCTACTCATAAGCATTGGTTAGGTTCATACGTAAATTCATAGTCTTCACGTAAATATTGGTCGGGTTTCATATTTTATTATTATCATTATTATTCTTATTATTACAAAAATAATTGCATGAAGAAATAAAAAGAGAGAGGGCCGTACAGAAGAAAAGAAGGAAGAAAGAACAACAAAAAAAAATGAAAGAAAGAAGGAAAGTGTGAAGACATGGGGATTACAAAATAGGAACAGACCAAATGTTCCGATTCGTTCCCTATTCCTGACATTGAAACAGCTATTCACGAATTGGCGGGAATTAAATACTTTGCTAAAATTGGCCTCAAATTTGCCTCCAATCCAAATGATGAAAAATTTAAAGAGGTCACTACGATTAACTCTCCAGTAAGCTTACTCAGATGTAAAGCATATGTCTTATGGTGGGAAAACACCAAGTGCTATTTTTTTTTAAAAAGCGATTGATGTACTAACTGGTGATATTAAAAATACGATCCTCTGTAAAGATAAATATATGAATTGTTGCTAGGAGCAGAGAAGCGCTAAAACGAGAAACGGGTTATGTTTTAATCAAATTAAAAAAAAAATATGCTAGGATGTCAATAAACAAGGATATATGTTTGTTAAATTGTGACCCAATAACATATCAGGGATACCATATTTCCAAAGACGGAATTTCGCCAGATACAAATTTTATAAAGAAAATAGCAGAATTATCTACACCTACAAATAAAAAATAATGGATGACAGAACTAATTTCAACTCGAAGGTGATTTTCAGTTCAAGCTCCGTGCTCAGTTCCTAATAAAAATTTCCCGAATAATTCCATTTAGGTGTAAATCTACATGTTTAATTCGAAAATATCAAAGAAATTTTGATAAAATCTATCGTTTTGGTGTTATCGACAGTAAAAGTTCGGACTCATTCGCGTCGCGGTGGGTAAAGTTGAAATTAATTCTTCATCTCAAAAGAATTGGTATCTTTTTCAGGGTTAGTCAATTTTTATAGCAGATGTTTGCTAAAGTATAGTGTATTGATACAAGCCTTTGCGGAGTCACGTTACAAGAACCACGAATTTAAATAGGCTTAAAATTCGAAAATTTAAAGAAAGAACTTATATATAAAAAAAAAACCGTTGTAAAAACTTCTGACCCTAAAAGGGAAGTGCCTTTAACTCCGGACGCAAATGAGCGTGCCGTATCAAAGATTTTGTCTCAAGAATGTCATCCTATCGGTTGTACCGTTTTAAAAGGTTAACATCAGCAGAGGCTAACTATTCAAATATTGAAAAAGAAGCGTCAGCTATCACACAGATAGAGATCGCCAATTTTAATTAGGCAGGAAGTTTCTGCTTAAATATGACCATAAATCTTTAGAGTTTCTTTTTAACCCTAGGAAGGAGTTACCTAAAATTACATCTAGAATTTCAAGCTAGGCCATAAAGCTCATGGCGTTTTGTTTCGCCATCGATTATGGAAAAGAAAACACTATTTTACATGTACGTGTTCTATCAAGGCTAAAGTTCACCAATAAACTATTAGAAAGATCAAACAATTCAGAAGATAAAATATTGCACTGGATTGAAGCAGACGCCATCTTGCATTTGAATACGTAAAGGATCGATATTAAGTAAGATTGCATGTAGAATAAAAAGAAACAAATGGAGTGATTGTTCTATGACACAGAGACCCTATAAAGAGATAAGGCACAGGTTAACTATAGATAAGGGTCTTATATGCAATGGAGATGTTTGAATACCCCCAGAGAGATTAGAAAAGTCGTAATAAAAAGTCTATATGATGTCTAGTGTGGAATAACGATTAAAATTGGAAGCGTGGTGGCCTGGGTATTCGCGTGATCGAGAAAAATACGTACAAAAATACCGAAAATGTAGGGAAATAAAATTTTTTTTTTCGCCAAACCAAGGTACATTCATGGCTTAAAGAAAAAGAGCAATGGGTCCACGTTTATATGGATCATGCGCATATTAAAAGCATCGGACGATTTTAAATTTTGGTCGACTCATTCTCTTGGTGATTTGGTTAAAGTGGTTAAAGGAAGACAATTACAGTAATTATGAGTGATATTTTCCAGAAACGGGATGCCAAAAAAGTTAGTCTCTGATAATGCACCAGATTTTGTGATGAAACTTTGTACCTGTGGTTAAAACAAATTGGGTACCTCCCTCATAAAACACCACCATACCACCCGAAATTGAATGGAATGTTGAAGGTATTTTCTCCATCTAGAGACAAAACAGATAGTCTCCTCTATCCTCAGATATGTTCCATACGTGATACACACTTAGGCGATCATGTATCTTTCGACGAGGTAGATTTTTCCCGCAGTAGGTTGCCATTTCTTTCTGCGGTTGTTGCCATCCAAGGTTATAGAACCCGGTCTAGAAGAAGAGGATTCATACGTTTCTCAAGGGTATTAGCACGTAAGTGAATGTAATGGATTCGACTGGAATTCGAACTCGGCTCTCCGATTCCTCAATCCGAGCCGCTATCAATTACTCCAGCGTACCTAGACTAATACTGAGTTATAGAACTATTCTACATTCCTGTAGAATGTAAAGTCCATCTGCATTGATGGGAAAACAAATTAGATCACCTATAACAATGACCTTATAAGTCGTACAAAAAGACGGATAATCAAGTCCCGAAAAAGCTAACTTCATTCCAAA